CTTTTCTATAGCCTTGCGGTCAGCATCGTTGTATTCCTTTCTTGTTTGGGAACTGTCACTGGGTCTCCAGTGGTCTTCGTAGGAACGAAGGATCCATCACAAATAACATGCCAGAGCTCTGAATCTTCAGCCATGATGAAATCATTCATCCTTGTCTTCCACCATCCATAGTATTGGCCGTTGAACCTTGGTGGTCTATAGGTAGATTAACCTTATTCAAAGTTTGGCGGAGCAGCCATGAGGATCCTTTCTAGGTGTTAGCCTGATAGAAAGAACATGCTCTGATACCAATTGATAGAAATTAAGGGTCCACCAAACTATATAGGGAATCAGGTTCTCTATTAGTTCCCATAAAAGACACGCACACTGCAGAAAGTAAATGACACAATGGAGTTTTACGTGGAAAACTCCCAGCTCACAAGATTAAAAACCACGACCTACCCTTGTAGGATTTCAACTTCACTACTGAGCAAACATCAAAGTACAACCTATTGTAACCTAGGAATTAACCTCGTAAATCCTCACTAGCTTGTAACAACTCTATTACAAAGCCCCTTTGTAATAACTCTATCACAAAGCTTTACAACTCGACTAACTCTAGCCAAGACACAAACATAAAGGTTTATGATTTACAAAGGTTCTGACACAATGCTTCTAACTAAGCTAAGTAGGAATTACAAGTAAAGTACTTTAACAAAGGTGCAACACAACATGTAATGACCCAATATAGGGAACTAGTCCATTGTTATGTTGTTCTTTGTTCTTCATGCCCTTGAGAATCACTTGCCAGATTGATTGATCACTTGAGAGAATGCTTGATGGATTCTTGAATGTGCGTGTGATGTTTTACCTTTGCTTCAATGTTAATATTGCATAGGTGACATTACTTGAATGATGCAAGCATGTTTGGTACAAGAGCATTTCTCATAAAGTTGACTGCCGCACTGTTTGCACTGTTGCGCGTGCAGGCAACAACTTTACAATTGTCGGGGGGTTGACTGGTACAGTCACCAAGGGAACTGGTGACCATCTGTTCCCTCTGCTGTTTCTCTGACTCTGAAGAATTGAACCACGTCCCTAACTTGAGACTTGTCATTTTTAAGTACTCGAGGATGTGTAACGGGTTCCTCATCTAGCTCTTATCATTATATTTGTTAGATCATCAAAACATAATAAGGATGCATATAACCTATCAGTATTCTTATCTTATATTATATCCTATAAGAATAATACGTAAATTTCAACATAAGTTATGCGGATATTATTTTACAACAACAACGACCCAGTAAAATCTTACTAGTGGGGTCTGGGGAGGCTAGTGTGTACGCAGACCTTACCCCTACCCCGAGGGGGTAGAGAGGCTGTTTTCGAAAGACCCTCTGCTCAAGAAGACGAAAAGAGACAATATCAGTACCATCAATAGAAACCATAAGAAAAGTAGCATCATGAAAATGAAAAAGTAGATGCAAAGCAAAATCGATAGATAATACATAGACCCGGCACTATGGAAAATGAAAGAGTAGTAAGATGCAACATTGCCACTAACTGACTTCGACAAAAACCCTACCAGACTAGCCTCTCAAAGATACAACGTAAGGAAAGACTCAACTACCTCCTAACCTACAACCCTAATACTCGACCTCCACAGCTTCCTATCAAGGGCCATGTCCTCGAAAATCTGAAGCCTAGCCATGTCCTGCCTGATCACCTCTTCCCCATACTTCTTAGGCCGCCCTCTACCTCTTCTCGTGCCCTCCAAAGCCAGCCACTCACACCTCCTTACCGGAGCATCTGGGCTTCTCCTTTGTACGTGTCCGAACCATCTGAGCCTCGCTTCCCGCATCTTATCATCAATAGGAGCCACGCCTACCTTCTCCCGAATATCTTCATTTATAATCTTATCCATCCAAGTGTGGCCCGCACATCCACCTCAACTTCCTCATTTCTGCTACTTTCCGTTTTATCTAGTTCACTTATACATCTTCTGGATATGTGAGTTCTTATCAGGCTAACACTCAGCCACATACATCGTGGCCGGTCCAACCACTGTTTTGTAAAACTTACCTTTGAGCATCAATGGCACTCTCTTGTCACACAGGACTCCAGATGCCAACCTCCACTTCATCCACCCTACCCCAATACGGTGTGTGACATCCTCGTCGATCTCCCCTCCCCTCCCCTCCCCTCTGGATAACCGACCCAAGGTACTTGAAATTACCACTACTTGGGATGACCTGTGATTCAAGCCTCACTTCCACGCCCACTTCCCTCGGCTCAGTGCTGATCTTACACTCTAGGTATTCCGTCTTCGTCCTGCTCAACTTGAAACCCTTAGACTCAAGAGCCTATCTCCCGACTTCCAACTTCTTCTCGACTCATCAATCAGAACTATGTCATCGGCGAATAACATACACCATGGCACCTCCCCTTGAATATGGTGTGTTAACGCGTCCATCACCAGAGCAAATAAGAACGGGTATAACCCCATATCAATCGAAAACTGTCAGAGTTGCCTCCTACTATCCTAACCCGAGTCTTAGCGAATATTATTTTAAGAGAAAATAAATGAAGCAAACTAAATAATGTCTATAATTGTGGGGAGTTTAATGTGGTGATTGAACCTATTCTTCTAACAATCAAACGGCTCTAAAATGATACAGATGTTTATAGTCAAAATATTTAAAGTACCAAAATTATTTGATGCAATTATTCTTTTTTAGGTTGAGAAGAGTTATATTCTAGGGGCTGTTGGATTATCGTGATTAAAATTCTACTCTCGATATAACATTTAGGATATGTCTACCTACTGTTTGGTTTATCATCACTAGAATATCTAAGGTCAAAAGTAAATGTCATTATCATTTCTAGAATATCCAAGATCAAAATTGGAATAATTTTTTATCCAAATCTATCAAATTTTGAATCAAATGCATATCTTAAATTATATACTAATATTTGTAATTACAAAATAAAACTAAAATAATACTACATAATTCAGGAATTACTTATATTACAATCCTAACATTTTTCCTACATAACCACCCTAAGTGGGAAAATAAAAAGGGGAAACCGATTTTGGGTTTATTGGCTTTTGTTCTTTTTTAAAAATGTAACCTTAAGGCCATAGACCCAAACATGGGGGGTAACAATGGAGGAGGATAGTGGGAAGAAAGGGACGAATAGATGTAGAAAGGCACTTGGACAGAGAGATAGTGCCGGAAGGCCCCCATTCATAAGGAGTGATATGTGGCCAATGATGCCATCAATGCCTTTGAAAGACGGATCGGCAGACACAATCAATGCGTTATTGAAAATCGAGTCGACAACGATACTGTCGCTTTGAAGAATGGGAATCGGCAGCGCATTGAATGACGCTGAAAAGACAAGTCCATGGGACGTCCCGGTTATCGTGAAGGCTTACGTCATAAGTTGATATCATCGGTATGACGTCATCGCGGGAAGTCCGAAGATTTTGATGTCAAAATCGTTACTTATCGCTCCTCTCTAAGAAACGCGGGGACCATCTGTATACGGTAAAATCGGAGGGTCCAATTCCTCGTCATTAAGGCACTTCGGAAGATCACCTCGAAGGTTCGAGGCCATGGCTGAGTACCCTCCTTCGAGGGACGTCGACGCTCGACCTCAGTGTAGCAATGATCACGGCAATGGTAGTAACGGGGAGTTCCCAAGGCACACGGCTAGGACTGACAAAGTCTAGTGTGCTATTCTGAACCCAAATCAGGGTGTCATTCAGCTGTCCCATCCCCAATCTATGTAATTAATGTATTTTGTACTATGCTAGGATTTCCCTCCTATATAAAGGGAGTCCTTGTCATTTTGTAAGGATCTGTTGCTTCAGCTGCTTCACAAGAAATATAAAATAACATTCTCTCTGCTCCCTTACATATTCTCTTGATATATTTGCTTCCATTTATTATCTTCATTAGTGTTCATCATTTATTGCTTATCATTGGCCATAAAGAGCCTTCTTTGATTTTATCATAACTGTTAGGCATACTTCGATTACCTTCGATAGCTCACGGTCGAGCCCCGGAATCGACCTCGAGGCTCCGGATCGACGAGCTCGAGGCCCCCGATTGTCTACCTATCGGTTTGATTATCATTTCATCCTTAACTCTTATTTCGTTTCTAAGTCTCACATACATAGCATCAACTGCTTAACAACCGGCATAAAAATAGATCACGCATTTTTAGAGTCCCATAATCAAATTTAATTGTAATTACCATTTTCACGGTAACAATTGGAACAATTTTTTTATCCAAATCTATCAAATTTTGAATCAAATGCATATCTTAAATTATATACTAATATTTTTAATTACAAAATAAAACTAAAATAATACTAAATAATTCAGGAATTACTTATATTATATTCTTAACATTTTTCCTACATAACCACCCTAAAGTGCGAAAATAAAAAGGGGAAACCGATTTTGGGTTTATTGACTTTTGGTGTTTTTTAAAAATGGATCAACCGCTCACCAACAAAAGATACTTCATAAATACGCTACTGAATATTGGAAAGCTTCACTTTCACACCGACTCTTTTCTTTCCCTCTTCCATCTAAACCCAGTGAAGGTATGTCTCAGTTTTAAATTATAGATTTATTCATCAGCTTTATCAATCTATTTATCAAATTAGATTTCTAGCTATTCTCTGGTCTTTTTCTTCTTTGCGAAAAATAAATTTAAAATTGGAGTACTTTAGGTTGAATTTGTGCGGTAATTGCACATTATGATCACACTGATGTTTTTTATATCATTTATGCTTGGATAATTCGAAATTACGATTGGAATTGTTGGTAATTTGAGCATTATCCTTCGGTATTAAGAAAAAAAAAACATACAGAGATCTTTGTTGGTTTTATAGTTAGGTGTTAAAGCTGTTCTTGCTAATTTCAGTGTTAATTTAATGAAAAAGGATGAAACGGAACTATGGTTGATATTTTTTTTTGGGGGGTGGGTGGGTGGGGAGGTAGGTGGGAATGGTTTGTTTGTTTTCTTGAACCTGCTGTAAGTCGATTTATTGATAGCTAGATTGGGTACTCTTTTTTTTCATCAATTTGTTGGAATATAATGTTGACTGGTTAATAATCTGTTGTACTTTCTCCATTTGGGCTTTTTTTGGGCTGCTAGGCCGTAGTACCATTTGTTTTCTCTTTAGTCAGTTGGATATGTTTATAAGCATTGAAGTTGGAGATTTGGTAATAGTGCCCTTAATTGGATCTCAGAAATGATCTCCCCCTCTTTTATAACTTCTGGGGTTTGTCCTCCAGGGTGTTGGTTTATTAGTAAGAGCGCATCATAATGTGTGGGTTAGGCGCACATCACTGATGCTATGAGTTTTTGCTTTTGTTGCTGATGCTTATGGTTATTTTCTTATCGTGCATATATCACAAATAATATTTGGTCCTGATAGGTGGATACGGTACATCTGATGGCCTGAGTTGTATAAAGTTCAGTTTATCTGATGCCTAATTTCTTTGATCTCAGTAAAGTAGAGTTAAATCAGCACATATGAATCCAGGGGGTTATACAGCAGAAGTTACAGGTCTTTCCCCTGATGCTACTGAAAAGGATGTTCATGATTTCTTTGGTTTCTGTGGGGCAATTGAACATGTTGAGATTGTCAGGTGAGTTTAATATCTAGGAGTGCATTTACAATTTTATCATTCATACCCTATTTTTTATGTGTCGATGGTTTAGGATGAAAGTAACGAATTGAAAGGGAAATTATGAGTAGAGCTATATATTTTAACTCACAAGTGTATCTTGCTTTGTTTTTCTTTTGTTTCAATTTATTCAAATTTCTCAAAGTTCAAACCCACCCCTTAATTATATTGTTCATACAATGTAAGATCATCTTTTGTCATCTTTTCTAATTCACTTAGCTTGATATATGTAAGATAAACAAGTTTTGTAGCTCACTATTGTTTCTTGGATTATTATCTTGTTTTCTTTTCTAATCTTGAAAGCTTTTGATTCTTCTGAAATGTTTATATCAGGATAGAGCAAGTCTGCCATCTGTAGGTTGAGCAAAACAAAAGGGTTTTGGTGTTTGGGGATATGCATCTATATCTGTTTATAATTTGGTCCTGTCTGTGACATAATTAGTTGATTATTTGGCAAAACTGTATCTTTGTAGACGTCTCATTGTTTGTTCTGAGAACCCAGAATTGTCGCTATGTCCTTTAGCAAATGAAAAGTAGGAAAAATTTCACTTATGGTACTTATTTTTTACTTTCCTTTTACCCTTCCAAAGTACGATATTTGTGTAGAGTAGTGTTTGCACAGCCTTTTAGTTATTGATACCTATTTTTATTTTAATTTGAAGAAATGTTGAGCACCACTGAAGTCTTATAGCATCACAGGAGCTTTTAGTCAGCCCAACTGCTTACAAATCACACTAGGCTTCAATGTTACTACTTTAGTTGTTATTTTTGTGAAAATCAATCATGTAATCGAGGAACTTTATGCCAAGTTGGTCTTATAACACACAGCATGTATTTCATTCCTGCTTTTTCCATCAGTTACTGTATAAAAAATTTTGGTCGCTGATTGAGTGTATGCTTGTGGTTGAGAATGCAGAGCTGGTGAACATGCAAGTACAGCCTATGTGACATTTAGAAATCCTCATGCCTTGGAAACGGCTATCTTACTGAGTGTAAGTTCCTTCAGATGGTTTATTGGTTTAGTTGTATCGTGAGTAAGGTTTAGGTCTCTGAATAAGCAGCCTAGAATTGCATTCTGTTTACAATTTGACATTTGCTAATTCTGGTTCCATGTGGTGTTAACTGAATGGATTATGTGTCACTTTCCTAATGTTTTTTTAACCTGTGTGTTTGAATGTAAAATAGTTCATCTACTGGACATAAACAAAGGGTATGTGCTTTGAGAGTGAGGGCAAGACCTCAATATTGATGTTTGAGTTCAATATAAATATTGTTGGACCAATAATTTGAAACCCTTCCGTCTGTCACAACAATGCAAAGCCTTTCTTTTTTCCTCGAGCTGTTTTTATAGAGCTTAAAGTAATGTTGGTGTTGCTCGACAAGGTATTGTTTTATTTTATCTCCAGTTATAGTTGGTCAAAGTGCTCATCTTCTTTACGTAATTGGATGTCCTATTCTCCTGTAACGCTTCTCATGAATTTGCTTGGTCTCAAAATCCAAGCAATGACCTATATGCAACCCCTTAGTATTAATTTGATTCTGCGTACATCTCTGTGCACTTAGATGTAATTTATTGCTGATAGATGTAATTTCTTTTTTTTTTTTTGCACCAAACTAATTTTTTCCTTAAGATGTATATTTTGATTGAATAGTTCTCATTTATAACTAACTTCTCTCAGGGGGCTACCATTTTGGATCAACGTGTGTGCATAACCAGCTGGGGTCACTACCAAGATGAATTTGCCTATTGGGATCATTCATCATGGAGACCTCAAGAGGAAAGTCATTCAAGTGTATGTTCTTCAGCCTCCTGCTTTCCAATCTGTATGGTAATCGTTTCTCTATGAATGGTGAGGTGTGTATTTCTAATGAGTGTATTTATAATTCCAGCAGGACCCCCAGGGACACCATTTTGTTTCTTCTGCTGGGGAAGCTGTGACGTTGGCTCAAGATGTGGTTAAAACCATGCTATCTAAAGGGTATGTTCTTGGAAAAGGGGCACTGGGAAAAGCCAAAGCTTTTGACGAATCTCATGGGCTGTCAGCAACTGCAGTCTCCAAGGTTGCTGATTTAAGTGAGAGAATCGGCCTCACCGACAAGTTCTGCGCCGGGGTTGAAGTGGCCAGATCTGTGGATCAGAGGTATCACATATCGGATACCACCAGATCAGCTGTGTCAGCTACAGGTAGAACTGCTGTCTCTGCTGCAAGTGCTGTTGTCAACAGTAGCTACTTTTCTAAAGGAGCTCTTTGGATGTCTGGTGCTCTAAGTAAAGCGGCTAAAGCTGCAGCTGATTTGGGTAGCCGAGGCATTAACAAATGAGTAGATTCAGAGCAACTGCCGTGCAGCTTAGATTCTTCTATATGAGAAATGGTGGTAGTTGATGTAGTTTTCTAGTGTATATTATTTTATACCTGTCGCATGCGGTATCCTTTTCATTGGCACTGGTATTAGTCCTCTGGGTTGTGTGGTCTAGAGTTGTGATTTGAATTGATTGGGATGATATTGATTCAGCTGAAATCAGACTGGTGTTTCTTTCCACTTTTGTTGGGATATCAGGTCGATGTTGTAAAGGACATACAATAGATAATACGTGTTTGAGTAGAAATTTTCTTCAGTTTTGGAGATTTACTGGTCTTACAACATGCAGTTGTGCTAAAATTCTTTGTAAAATTCTTCAGTTAGAAGCTGCTCTCAAGATATAAATTATAAGATTAGCTTTAAGGAGGCCGCTTTCGATAACTGATAAACAGTCTTTTGTCTGTCTGTAAACTGGACTCGGTTGCCTACTGGGTATGGTGTCCATAAGTATTTGGTCAGTGTATGTGTAAGTTTTGTTTATTGCTAAGTTTTATTGTATTAAGAAGAATTTGAATTTGTGGAAAATAAGAAGAATAATTTGCATGGAGTACTCGCACCAATATCATATCTTTTGGACGTGGGTACATTAAGAAAAATAAAAGATCCACGAAATTCAGTAGGTGTTTGGACAATATTTGGAGCAACGGTTAAGTTGTTTTTGTGTGACCTATAGGTTACGGGTTCGAGTCGTGGAATCATCCACTGATGCTTGTATTAAGGTAGACTATTTACTTACAACCCCTTGGGATGCGACCCTTTCTGGACCCTACGTGAACGCGAAATGCTTTGTCCATCGGGCTGCTTTTTTGGATAATATACGTAAATCTTTATTATCACACGTTGTGTTGTTTGCTTTCGTTAACCTATTACCTTGTTGCTATTGTTTGTTGCTTTCTTTTTGCTGTTCCTTGAGCCGAAGGTTTATCGGAAACAACTTCTCTATCTTCACAAGGTAGGGATAATGCCTCTCCACACATTATCTTCCCCAATCCTACTTGTGAGATTATACTGAATTTGTTGTTATTTTCATAAAAAGGTTATTGAAGTTGAACTTTCTTTTGTATATTATTTTTGAGGTAGTCAGTGCAAATGATCCTTGTGAATAAGTTTTTCCCATATAGTTAGCAGGGAAGTAAAATATGCATTTATATTATGATATTTTGACTATTAAAATTGTACAATTAAAGAGCATATTATAGAATTGCTTTATTGAGATGTCCTATTTAGAAGCATAAAATAAGAAAGTAGTATATGAAAATTACAGATATCCTCTAGTAAAGTGTCTTTCTTTTTGAAATAATATTAGCAAATTTTCAAGGCGAAAAAGTGTCTTTCTTTTTGAAATAATATTAGCAAATTTTCAAGGCGAAATACATAAAGCGCCGCTTCAAGTTGTACTCAACGATCAACTTAGTACTTCAACTGAGACCATTTCTAGCTAGACACTTCAAGTGACTGTTAAGTAAATCAAATAGATACCTCAGTGCACCAGATGCCTGTGTTACACTTGCCAAATGAACCAATCAATGAACAACACGTGTAATTCGTAATTAAAAATTAATACAAATTAACCAAAAAAATGAAATGAATTTAAAGAAGAAACAATCAGTTTCCAGCGTTCTTCCCCCTCCAATTTATCTTCTTCTTCCAAACCAACATACCTCATTATCATTATCTGCCATAGGAATGTATGAAATATTTGATATTTTTGCTTGCATTTCACCCTTTTGATTTCAAATCATTTCCCTGAAATGGAGATAGGGATTTGCTTGTCTTGCTTAAACGATCTCATTTTTAGCATTTTGCTAGATTTTGTCTCTGCGGTTGATTTGCTGACTAATCTGCTGCTACAGCAGTTGATTCGCACAAGTAGCCGATTTTATGACCTCCTGTATTTCGCTGCTTCGTATTCTCTTCACCATTTTCCGTCCAAATGGTTGTTGTGTCTGATAATTGGATGGATGAAAGAGAAATTTGTTGAAAAATTTGGTGAATTTGATGTGATGATATATTTGGTAAGTTTGTTCTTTTGTAATGGAGACAAAGGTGATTTAGGGTAGAGGAGGGTGTTGAATGGAGGAGAGAATTGGAGGAGAAAGTCATGTGAAAATTAAGTGGGTCCACATTATTTTAGTAAAAAAAAAAGAAAAAACCTAATTTTAGGTTGCCAACTCGCATCCCAGAGAGTGGATTTCACGCAATGGGGGCTGACATGGTCGGTGTTTAGTTGATCTTCTTTTGTGAATAAATAAAGGGTCTAATTGAAAATAGACTCACTTGAGGTGTTGAGCTGGTCGTTGAGGATAACTTGAAGGGCCGTTTATGTATTTCCCCAATTTTCAATTTTATAGGAACCTGTTGATGTTGCTATGTCACACGGGACTCTCGTGTCATGCCACAATTACAAAATGACATAACAAGGAAAGTGAAATTCTTACATTAGACTATTCTTAAACTCGACTCCACCCCCACCCCCACCCCTCTTTCCTAACCCATCGCCGTCGGTGGTCTTACGTCTTCTTTTTTTGCCTTTATGAAAAAGTCAAGCACCCTCCTTTGAATCCAACGCGGACCGAATCAACAATCCGACGTCGTTTCCCTGTAAAATTAAAAAAAATATTTCACGTATTTTCACTCCATCACAGCTGAGCTTCAATTTTGATATCTTAGCTAACGCATTTCCATTTTCCAGATCGAATGTGATACCATCAATTTAAGTGTAGCTGTAATTAGAACTGAAGCAGATCCGATTCATTTTTCAGAAATGGATGCGGTGTCCATTAGAGTACCGTACAAGAATTTAAAGCAGGAAGTGGAATTAGTTAACGTTGATGAATCATCTCGGTTTACTCATTTGGAGATCCACAGTGATTCGTCTTCTCCTCCTAGGGTTTCCAATGGCGAACCATGCGATTCGCATTCTCCTCCTCAGCCGCCGCCTGTACGGAACAGTTTACTCACTTTAATTCTCAGTTGCACCGTCGCCGCTGGTGTTCAGTTCGGTTGGGCCTTGCAACTCTCTCTCCTCACTCCTTACATTCAGGTGCACTGATTTCTACGCTACGACTCTCTCTGATCCATTTTCATATATGATAGTGTTGCACTGAAGTTTAATAGTATGTTAATTTGACTTGTGTACCTGTTTCGTTTTGATTTGTTTGACTGGATATGGAGTTACAGATGTTAATTTGACATATGCATTTATAATACTGATACCGTTTGAGTCACAATTGAAAAGTTCGTTCAATGGCGGTGACATTATATCAAAGCTTAGAATTCATTTTCTATTTTTGGTAAAAAGTTGTACATCCGAAAACAGTTTCTTTCTGTACCAAAATTCGATTTCTATTAGGGAATAATTTTAGTCTATAAAAGGTCACACAGAATATTTCAGCAAATAGCACTCTTTAATAGCTTAACGGCTTTTAAATACAGCTTGCATTTGATATCGTGGCCTTTGATAGTTTATACTTTGTTTTTAAGTAAATAAGAGAAACAGAGAGCAAAATCATGTTCATGTCGTTACGGCTGGGATTGCATTTGCTCATGCCAAAAATAAGAAGGTTTGATTTTTCTGTAATCTTAGTTAGTTGCAATAATATTGATCCGAAGATGTGCAGAAATGGTCTTTAAAAGCCATAGCTGTTTTCCGCTAGCCTCGAGCAATGAATTCTTATAATTTTCTATCTTTTTCTGTGGCTTTAGGTTTTATTTTGCCTATTTCTCGTTTTGATGCTTTTTCTTTGCCTATAATTCTTCTTTTTTGTGTTTTGCAGACACTTGGCATAGAGCATGCATTCTCTTCTTTTATTTGGCTTTGCGGTCCTATTACAGGCCTTGTGGTAGGTGTTACAATCAACTTCATATCAAATATCATGGCATTTTATTGCAGATTACTAGGTAAAACGTCCATCTAAAACAATGAATGACAGTAATTAGGATTCAGAGTTGTGAGAACAACTCTACTGAGAGAAATTCCTGAAGATATAAAATAGGGATAACCTTTGCACCTGCAGAGCCAACTACATAAAAGCTACAACACTTCGAAATTTTGTTGACTCTTAAACAAAAAATTTCTAGACTTCAGCCCGGGTACTTAACCTTGCATATATGGCTTGCTGAACTATAACAACTTTTTTCTTTTGGAGCTCTGCAAAATTTGTTAGTTGTTCCTAGCATTAGAACTTTCTGTCCTTTGTTCAGTAAATTAATGTCGCCAGATATATGCTACAAACAAAATATGTGGAGAAGTTTTGCTGCAGCTCCATTGATTATTCAACTTAGAAGCTTTTCTTCTTGGACATTCTTTCAGGTACAACCTTGTGTAGGTATATGGAGTGATAAATGTCATTCGAAATATGGCAGAAGAAGGCCTTTCATTTTTGTTGGAGCTGTCATGATATCTATTGCTGTAAGCATTTAGAAGTTATGTTTATCCTATATTGAATTAATTGGTTCCAGTTAAATCGGCTGAACTTAATCTTGTCATTTAGGTGATAGTTATCGGGTTTTCTGCAGACATAGGATACTTATTGGGGGACACAAAAGAGCATTGCAGGTTCTTTCTTCCTCTTGGTCCTGTAATTTTGGTATTATCTGAATAAGCTGTGAAGTCTTTGATTAATGTGTGAAAATACAGCACTTTCAAAGGCACTCGCTCTAGAGCGGCTATTGTCTTCGTTGTTGGGTTTTGGATGCTCGATCTTGCTAATAATACTGTGCAGGTTAGCATCTGAAAGTTTAATACTATTGCTAGGAAATTAGATGATTCTAATAGATGGTACCGTAATTGTTTTATGTTGGCAGGGTCCAGCTCGAGCTCTTTTGGCAGATTTGTCAGGTAAAAGCTCCATTAGATGGAAGGGAGAATTGTCTTTTCATTTATTGATTCAGTTCTCCTTTTGTTGCGAGTTATGCAGATGTCTTTGTAACTTGATTGTAGGTCCTGATCAAAGAAATACTGCAAACGCTGTGTTCTGCTCCTGGATGGCTGTTGGAAACATTCTTGGATTTTCCGCTGGAGCCAGTGGAGGTTGGCACAGGTTGGTTGTTTATTGCGTATCTGAAGTGACATGGTGATGTTATATGTGTATATGCTTATGTGAAAAGATAGTCCGCATCCTGCTTGAACAATAACACTTGTTCAGCATTCTTCTTGAGGGTCAACACTTTGAAATTTGTTGCTCTTTTAGTGGCAAAAATTGTCTTCTTAATTAAGATTTGGTTCATAAAACAATACAGGCTTAAAGTAGTCTTTGACAAAACTTTGTGTCTGGGCAGATGGTTTCCCTTTTTGACAAATAGAGCATGTTGTGAGCCATGTGGAAATCTCAAAGCAGCGTTCTTAGTTGCAGTGGTGAGTTAATTGTCCTCGATAGAGCCCTTGCATAGATATAGTAATTTCTATTTTTGAATCTTGATTTATGGGATCTTCTACTTTAGTTCGACATTTTTTATTATACATTTTTTATTGGATGTACATTGACAAAAAATATTGCTAAAAGAACATAAAAGGGAGTTTTTGGATCTACTCGTCACATCCTGCATCCTTAGTTAATAAAGATTTTCCGTCAAGCATCTTTTTTAAACAATGTCTTAAAACATTAATCACGTCCTCTTATGCATCTTACTTGCTGATATATTATTGTTGAAAGTTGGCTATCTGAAATTGGATAAAGTACAATGACAACATATACTCCCGAATCCCAAGCTAGTTATGGTCGGCTAATGACTACAAGAAAACCCCAGAAGATTCAAGTAAATTGATGGAAAACCCAACAACGCTAAAGAGAAGATGAATAACATAAACATAAAGGATAGGGCGGAGTTGAACTAATTCACTAGGTTAACACAAAATCAAGCAATAGATAGCTTGAATCCTTGCTAACACTATCAATTAGCCCAAACCATGATAGAATTAGAAGAAAAAAAAAAGATAGATTCAAATAGAAGAAGCAATTAGTCAACACAAGAAAAATATATCTTTAACCAACTAATTAGCAATTCAACTATAAGGGGGCGTTTGGTACGTGGGATAATGTGTGATAAAATATGGTATTAAATTTATACTTATGTTTGGTTGACGGTATAAATTTATACCGTCAACCAAACATAGTATAAACTTTGTACCAGACTTAATCCTCAATATCCCATCTTATCCCGCCTTACCCCATCAAACTTGGTAATATTTTATCCCACCTCTCAGGTGAGATAAAGTAGTCTAGGGATTACAATCCCAGGACTATAATCCCAGGATAATTTAGTCTGCGTACCAAAACGACCCCTAAGGTTCATCCAAGGAAGAGGAGAATTGAACTCCTACAAACACCTACTAAGAAGCATCAAGATGAGGTTCAAGAAGAGGTGAAGGTCAATCCCACAAAAGGGTTTTCTCACAAGAGATTTCTTGGACTCAACCCTAACACTTCCTATTTATACGCTAAGCTGATGGCCTAGGCCCATCAGATTAAGTTTAATGGTCACTTTTGTTTATCTTTTGGTGTTAGGAGGAGTTTGTTAATGAAGCCGAATCTATACTTTGCCTCCTAGAATCCTTGAAAGACTGGAAAAGGGTTCCTTATTTGGTTTTGTTCACCTGTAAATATTTAGTGCTCTCCACTAAACAAAAAAGAAAAAGCTAGGTAGGCCGTGTGGCCCAAGTGGGGTGGAGATGTGGCCCACAAGTGATTCGGTCATGAGAATGACATTTCCAGAAGTCCAAATGCTAGTCAACCAAGTCAACATCTTGGCCAAACGTGATCAAATCCCTGTCAATCCTCTGTTTAATTTGGTCAACTTTTCGTAGATCCCACTAGTCTTGTTAAATGGTGTAAGTACATAAAAGTGCTGCCGTGCTACATTATATGAATTCTCATTATTCATTTCACTTCATGTGGATCTGTTTCATCTAAAATTGAATAAGTGCTGTGAAAAGCCATTGCACCGTTGCTTAAAGTGATGACGTCATGCGAGGCGGGTTTATTGCTTCATGGGTGAAACGATGCGCTTCAAAGAAATTCATGCATCAAACAGTGAAACTGAACGTGTTTTCAGTTAGAAAGGGTCAATTCTTTAATTCTTGCTTTAAGAGATGGTAAAAAAAAAGAGAAAAAATGGAGGAAATGTAACCTTATGAGTTTCCCTTTGAACAGTGTTTATCTCATAATTTAGTTACATTTCTTGTGAATTCCAGCACCTGGAATCAAGGGGTCATCAAATACGTTGACTGTCTCTTTCCTGCTGTTTGTCTTTAGTCATAAAATATTTGTTAAAGAGCTTTAAGTCATACTATGTAATTCGCAGAAGTCATTTTGTTGGCTAACATTTCTAAACGCAATCAGCTAATCAAGGGAGACAATTTTTCTATTTATGATATACTAATTATTAGGTGTTATGAGTTACAACTGTGAAGAATTAGTACTATGCTTAAGCTTGAACATAGTAAAAATGAAACCTTCTCTGGTGTTGTTACTAGCGTGATCTAGTACCCATGTTCGTTCTATGTAATTCAAAGTTTTTTCTGGACTGTGAACAGGTCTTTTTGACTCTATGCACGTTGGTAACTCTCCACTTTGCCAAAGAAGTCCCGCTGTCACTCAAGCAAACCAATCGCTTATCAGATTCTGCTCCTCTGTTGGATAGTCCTCAGAATACTAGCTTTGACCTTTCTCAATCAAAAACAGAGTCGCAATCTGTAAATAATGTGACCAATAATGAATCTGAGGTGGGTCATGTAACCATTAATAGTCCAAAGAATGAAGACCAGAGACATGAGCAGGATCAAGGTGATGGCTTCACTGATAGCCCTGGAGCAGTTTTGGTCAATCTATTGACCAGCTTACGACATTTGCCTCCTGCAATGCATTCGGTTCTCATTGTCATGGCTCTGACTTGGGTGAGTAACTTTCTGATTTTTCTGATTTAAGCTTTTAACTAGCTGTACAATTTTCCCATTTTGCTGTACTCTATGAGTTTTATTCTTTGTTTTTCTCATGATCTTTCCACTGCCGCTAATTATATATCTTTGTGTTCTTTCAACCAGTTGTCCTGGTTTCCCTTTTTCCTCTTTGACACGGATTGGATGGGGAGAGAAGTCTATCATGGGGACCCGAAAGGAGAAGCAGCTGAAGTAAAAGCATATAACCAAGGTGTCAGAGAAGGTGCATTTGGTTTGCTATTGAATTCTGTAAGAACTCAGAATTGAGAATCACTAGTTATCCTTTATTTAGATCTAATAATAGGTGTTTTGCAGCTTAACTAGAAGTAATGATCAATCGAGAGCTTATTTATGTTTCTCTCTCTCGTAACTGCCTCAGTATTTTTAACGTCTTAAGTTATTGTCATGAATCTCCCTGAGCAGGTTGTTCTTGGCATTACCTCCTTTCTTATTGAGCCAATGTGCAAGTGGATTGGTTCCAGACTTGTTTGGGCTGTGAGCAACCTCATTGTATTTGCCTGCATGGCGAGCACCGCTATCATTAGCCTGGTTTCTATCAGTGCACATTCACGAGGAGTCCAACATGTGATTGAAGCTACTCAATCAACGAAAATTGCTTCTTTGGTTGTTTTCTCGCTTCTTGGCATTCCTCTTGCTGTAAGTTTTAATTATGTTTTTTGTACCTGTTAGCTGATCATACAGTAGATATGACTTGTATTTCTGTGGAGATTGATACTTTTGGGTGCATGTTCATCCTTTCATGCATTTTGCTTTACATGCCTGCAGGTCACTTACAGTGTTCCTTTCTCTATCACAGCAGAGTTGACAGCTGATGCTGGTGGTGGTCAAGGTATTTGTTCAATCTGTTACAAATATTATCATGTCTAAGTCGATAAGGCCTTATATTTTATTATTCGAAACTGGTACGCTTTTTGCAGGGTTGGCAATAGGAGTCCTAAATCTTGCAATTGTTGTACCTCAGGTAACTTTGCCTTTCTATCCAATTATTGCTATTCATCTCCATTGTGTGTGCAATATTTTTATGCCAGGATGTAATTAAGTTTCTTTGTATTTTGTAATTTACGTTAAGGTTGACATGTTGTTCTATTTACTTAGATGATTGTATCACTGGGTGCTGGTCCATGGGATGCTTTATTTGGTGGAGGGAACATTCCGGCATTTGTCTTGGCATCTTTATCTGCACTTGCTGCTGGCATTTTTGCAATGCTCAGACTACCAAATTTATCAAGTAATTATACATCAACTGGCTTCCACTTTGGTTGAGTAAATTAGTTCATTATACTCATTACACGTAGGGCATGTTACCGAATCAACAAAAGCATAGTATAGTTGTGACAGATATCTGAAACTTCCACTCATATTCAATTCATTTTTCCCCAATTTTTGACATTCTTGTATAATGTAAATTGTCATCTATAATGAGGAAGGAGTGTTGATTCGTACATGTGAATATCTAGATATTTTAGTAATTTGTTGCAATCAATCTTTCTACAATCTAGAGATGTTTTGGAGACTTGTCACTCTTAGATGTACTAGGGAAGAAGCCAAGTCGATATATACTTACGATATTGAAGGAAAGAAGCCCATTTCATCGCGCCTGTGGAAGCGTTTATATGTGTAGTTTGGTGCTTAAGTCTGCTCAGTGCCCATTCTAATTTTTTTCTATGATCTCTGTGTCTATAAAGGACACATTCACCACGACTGAATGCCATGGTATGGTATGGTTCCTCAAATAACTTAATGACTTGAAAAGAGACATTCTGAATATATGATATTGGTAAAGATTCCAAGTCAGTGTACTCATCACTAATTATCTCCTTATCACTTGCACATGAATCTTTACAAACTCCCTACTAATTAAAGCAAATCAGTAACTGCGGGTTCAAATGGGAAGTTGGGAACAGATAATTATTTTGAAATTTGGAATTTCAACCCTTTTTATTTTTTTTCTTGCTGCTAATAGTGCTTTTATAGTTACAAACAGTATATCTGTAACGTTTTCTAAAGATTTGTGAGAGGAATATTTAAGTCTTATTTCAAATTTTTGTGGAAAAACTTGAATATACAAGCGGAATTCAAATAAGAAATACCAAAAATTCCGTAGCCTTCCGAAACTGACGGTTTCAAAAGTGAATTATTTTGCCTTTTCTGACTTATATGTTGCGCTCTTTTGATTGATCTAAGATATTGTCGAAATGTTTCTTATTCCATTCTTTCTTGCAAGTTGCAACACGATTTCATTTAGCTCAAAGTAATAATATAAAATAAGAAAATAGACAAGAATGTACAGAGCAACTAAGGAGAGATTCTTATTTCTTCCATGTATTCAAGTGTGTACAATTTGATGCCCAAACCTCTATTTATAGGATGATATAGGTAATACAAAGGGATGCCATGAACATGGTATTAACTATTGAGAACATGAGGAAGATCATGGAGGTGTGGGAGTTACATCCATAATGGTAAGAAGTAGTGGGAGGTTAATGGAGAAGAGTAGTGGGTGTTACTCCCTTAGGGGTTATGGACATCCACCATAATCAAGTATTTCATAACACTCCCCCTTGGAGGTCCAAAGATAATGTGCCTCGTTAAAACCTTACAGGAAAAAACCCTGTGGGAAAAAATCCTAGTGAAGCAAAAAGAGTACACATATCTTGTAATACGCATTACTTGCTGTCTCATTAAAATATTGCCAGGAAAACCCAGTGGGATAAAACCTTTAGCTAAGGAAAAAAGAGTACAACGCGTATTTGCCTCCCCCTAATGAAAACATCACTTTTGTTTCTCGGAGACGACGAATTCCAAGCTTGTATAATAATTTCTCTAATATTGAGATCGACAATGCCTTGTGAAGAAGTTTGTCAAATTATCACTTGAACAAATTTGTTGAACAACGATCATGTCTGAAATAGAACTTTGGTGAAATATGCTTTATTTTGTCTCCTTCGATATATCCTTCTTTCAATTGAGATAAACAAATATCATCGCCTTCACTATTATTGGAATCTTTTCTTCAAGGAAAAGTCACACGTCAGTTGTGTGCTGAGTCACTTGCTTTATCAGTTGCTTATCTTGGCATGACTTGAATAAGTATGAACAATTAACTGCCCTGTAGAATAATAATATAGCATTACCCTCACATGAAAATAGATTGTTTGAACAACGAACTATGCCCTGCATTTGTATAACCAACAAAACCTTGACAATATTTGTTAGAATAAACAAAACTATATCAAGGATTCCTTTTGCAATATAACACTAATCATATTTCAATATCTCTATATAGCCTTTATACTTTCAACTATCGGGACTATCCGTCCAACTTCATATTTTTCAGATGAAGTCAATTTTCATTGCATATTTTTTATTTGGCCAATCATTTATCTGTCCAAATTCCATGACAGATTTGAGCTCAAGATCCTCGTCAATATTAATAATATGAGCGCTACATTATATTAACAACATCGTCGACGATCATTTTACATCAGTTCCATCATCGCACAATAAAGACATAACTTATCGAGATCTCATTATTTTCAGGTACCTGAGCCTCTCCCATGAGGTCTTATAAAGTGTTATGTCATGGTGCTCTTATAAAGCACTTGCCTCCTTATTATGACCATCTTGGACATTTGCTCCCTCCTTCTTCAAGGAGTATTATCTTTGGAACCGATTTGTCTATTACGCTTCATGCGTGCCATAAACTTTGTCCATCATGGACGTCATTCTATTTGGAGCATTAGCAGCTGGAATATGACATTTAGCTTTGGGTCAGCAAATGTGCCTGACAATATTTTGGAAATGAATTATCATTTGAACTTCAAGTTCAGATTTTCTTGTACGAGGATCTAGATGTATTCATAATAATTCATTCCACGTATCACTTTTTCAGCTGCCTATTTTCTCCCCCTAATGTCATGATCACCAACACATTTTCCAACCTTCTTTGGGAACCCATCTTTGTGCATTGTGGCAGCACAATTAAATCATATAGCACATCCATATTCCTAGATGAGAATATTTGGTTCCTGAACCTGAACCAATTGTGATGGGGAGAATTTATCATAACTTGTTGGATAGATGCGTACAAGTGTTGTTGTATATTAAATAATACACTTTATACCAAATTTCTATTTGCGAATTTTGTTCTCATAACCAATGACTTAGCTATAATTGGAGGCATACAATTTCTGCTAAACCAACTTAAATTTAAACCAACATTATCAAGATAAATTATTATAATTTATATTCTGAAATTGTGCTCTAATAATTTGAGCAAACAACCTTGCAAAAACCAAATTGCAAGTTGATAACAAACGCACATGTGACCATACAATAGGTGCATCTAGTAAACGGTCCACATGGCAAGTGACTGGGCCCATATATATATATATATCACCTTTTATACGTTCCAAAAATCAGGGAATACAATCCCAACCCCAGTTGGTATAGCAATCAGTTTATCGATCATGAGAACAAGTCGTACATGAGAATTCTCGAAGAATCTCCTAATTCTTCAATATATGCCAATGTGAATCTCAATTATTTTCGCATCATAATTGAACCGGGATGGCCAACCGGTCGTGCTAACTAATATTTGTTTTAGTAAACATTTAATTTACAATGGCATGTGATTCCATCATCATGCTTAATCTGTAGTACAAATAGAAGAAAAGTCGGGTAACTTTTTATATTTATCCGGTATGATTATAGTAGTATGAAGATATTCAATCTTCCTTTCATTTATAGTCTTAATATGCCAACCACTTTGGCTAATATATTTGAAACTCAAAAAGTTTCTTTTGAGACTTACTACAATATCAATGTCAAGAACAATTTCATTCATCCGGATAGTAACAAATTAGTTCTTCCGGAGCTCTTAATTAATTTTGTACTACAAGATATTTTGTCACACCATCCATATAGTGAATGTCTCATTCACGGAGAAAATCATATCATAATAATTGTCATGGTCAAAATCATCATAAGCGAAATCATTTCTTGCTTTACTTTTGCCTTTAATAAATTTTTATAAGCATGGCAAAATATTTTTGGCGTACCACATGTACGCGACCAATGACATATTCATATAACCACAATTATGTTCATTCTCTTTATTTCACTCAAACCTCCCGTAGAGGTGAGTTGTGTGGTATTGATCCAATCATGCATTGCACGTCTTTATTCATTACTTTTATCACATATTGCCACATTCACCTTTAGGAATGGGTCTGCATTCTTATGCTTATCACAAGTCAAATTCTCTTCAAGGAATGGATCATAATCAGCGACATGCTTTATTATTTTTTCATACCAATTTGATGGTAAACATTGCCTTCACATTTTGAAGACTATTTTGAGAACCCTTATTGTTCTCATTTTATAGTTACCATAGTGATGACAATTATTATTTCGTCGCTTGCCATGCCCTCGTACATTCATATAGTCATGAAAGATTATTTTCATTAGTCATCATTAGATAATAAATATGGTACATTGGGACTCAAACCCAATGCCTTACCCATATAAAGACATGTAAGGCTATAATACGTTGGGACTCGAACCCAACGTTTTATCATCATGGTGCACTAGGACTTAAACCCAGTGTCTTACCTTCAAGATGCAATGGAACTTGAACCCGCCATTTTATCCTCAACTAATTGTATAATAGGCCAAAGTGCCTAGAGATTTACCAGCAAGCCTTTAAAAATAATACCACTTCGTGATTATATATGAATAACAACAAGTACCTGTGCAATTGTATGTCGAATAAATTTAATAGAATGGACATTTTTATCAAAAGATCATGGGTACTCCAACGTCCATGCACAATAGCGTAGCATCATTTTCTAGAACAATGAATCCTTGTCCGGTAAGAGATATAGCAAATAATTTAAAGATATACCTTCCCGGTTCCTTGATTTCACTACTGGATACAATTCAAAAAATTCAACTAAATATTGCACGTAAAGTTAATGCAAATATATGAAAAGGTGAATGAGTTTATAAGGATGAAAAACTTATCTTTGCATTATCATCCAACAATTTTTTTATTGTACTTGATCTCATTGTCTGCTTATAATTCACATAATCTTGACGTAGAAGATCATGAAATGAGCAATTCGTGCTGATAATGTGTTAAGAAACTTAGCTCAAAGTAATAATATAAAACAAGAAAATAGACAAGAATGTAGGGAGCAAGAGAGGAGAGATTCTTATTTCTTCGATGTATTCAAGCGTGTACAATGTGATGCCCAAACCCTTTATTTATAGGATGATATAGGTAATACAAAGGGATGCCATGAACATGATATTAACTATTGAGAACATGGGGGAAGATCATGGAGGTGTGGGAGTTACATCCATAATGGTAAGA